TCTCTCTCTCTCTCTCTCTCTCTCTCTCTCTCTCTCTCTCTCTCTCTCTCTCTCTCTCTCTCTCTCTCTCTCTCTCTTTCGCTCTCTCTCTTAAGGTTTACTCCGCCTATGCCCCTCTCCTCTTTTCCAATATGCGCGCCAATTCCATGGCCTCCCAAGCCTTTTCCTCTAGCTCTGATTCAGGTAAACCTCGCACCTCCTCTCTCTCTCGTTGCGCCTCGACTTGTAATTGTTGTGTATCACTCTTCTCCAATTGCAAAATTCGGTCTGCCTCCTTTTCACATTGCCTATATCTCTCCTCCTTCGCACGCCGCTCTCTCTCCAGTCTCATTTGTAATTTGTGTTCCCACACCGATAAGATCGGCTGATAGATGCAGGCATCCGCTATCCCCCTGCCACATAGAGGGTGGCATCCGCCCTCCTTTTCTACAGATGTGCTCCCTGCAGACGTGCTCCCCCTTCCTCGTGCGCTGCCACTCTCTGCCATCTCTCTCTCTCTCTCTCTCTCTCTCTCTCTCTCTCTCTCTCTCTCTCTCTCTCTCTCTCTTCTCTGTGTATGACTGGCGCCGTTCCACTTCCGCGTCGCTACTCTGCCAGCACTCCGACTGCAGCGTCCCTCGTTAGCCAACATTGCGACTTCAGTGTCCCTCTTCCGCCTCACGCTCACCGCGGAAAACGACGAAGGGCGCACAACACCGAATGGCCAACCAGCCCAGGTCAACAGTTAAATAGTGTTGCACTAGACTGCCTGCGCTAGCATCCGGTGACAATTTACCCGGGACCGCATGCCCACTTCCTGTCGGACTGAAATGTGAGCGCCAGTACGTTCCCCATGGTCTGGTGCCGATATGGCCGCCGGGCCAGCCTTTTGGACTGGCCGTTTAACCTTTGACTATTTGCTGAACAGAAATGAACGTCGGTGAGCCTCGATTTTGACTATTCGCTTAGTGCCTGGATCTGACTTCTGCAGAACGACTTTCCATTTTAGTCCGTACGCGACATTTGCCTGGAATACGATGTGACTTTGCCCCACAGAACCTGTCTTTCGGAGGGTATACGCACAGATAGCAACGCATGCCCCAATCATCACAATGTGGATGCCTTAGTTCTTATATGGCTCTTCAATGTGCGGCGGATATATCCCGGCTGCATCCGAAACCAAATACATTTCTACTTCGGATACATCCTTCTACGTGGTGTGTTGGAAGTCATTAATGGTATACTGGAGGCTATATTTCACTGCTTAATGAATTGGTTTCTAAATAGTACACAGAATAATGTATTATTTTAACGAATAACATGTTTGTCAAAAAACAATGTCGCGGATGCCTGCGTTGACATGCCCAGCACTTTTGCCCCGACAACATGGACCTTAACAAAGTTCCCTTCTTTGACCTTGGAATCTTTTGGACAATATCGAAAGTGCGGTAAAATCGTCTTGCTCTGATCCATTCCGCCGATGATCAAACAGACATACTCCCCGGAGACATTGGAAGCCTTGTGACAGTGTTTGTAGAGCTTCAATCTTTCAATTTCTTGCATCGAACGGTGCTTCGCCAATGCTCGGTCGTAAGTTTCTGTTCACAAGCACCGCAAAAGAGAGGGTTCACAAAATGTCACTTTAGCAATCTAACTTAAGAATTATTTCAACTCGTTGTACAAAAGAGTTTTTCAAGCACAACGAATGACTGTTTTCCCCTCACGAATTCCTGCCGTGAAACGAAATAATTTATAGAACTATAAATTCACCTACGTCTCAAAGGAAGAATACTTAAAACTCACTAGCGTTCCTTAACAGCAGAGGCATTCAACTTTCTTGAAATGAACACACAGCGGCATCGGCGGTGTTTGTCTTGAGGCTTCAAAGCCGAAAGAAAAGAAACTTTTGACTTCCAGAACACCGTGACAAAACATTGTCAAGGAAACTCAAAGACAAAGCACAAAACACATAGCAGCACCAAAAGAGACTAAATTTTAGAACCATAAATTCAAAAACATCTAAAACGAACAATAATGTCAGATCCCAAACAAACACTTAGAGTCATTTCCTGTCTCAAGCTGCCTAACAAACACTTAGTAGGTCTAAGCCAAAAATAAATACGAGTTACTCGGACTGTACATTACACGGTCTTAACAAGTCACTGCATTGTAGGACAGGTATTTCAAATTAACATGTCAAACAAGACATGACTGTTGAAATCATCCTGTGGTAAATAGACAAAGCACATAAAATCAGCGGTAAAGTGTTAGAAACAACAACTTTGAAAATGATTAATTTATAGACGCCATTTACAGACGGTAGCAGATGTCTGTTCACGTACCTCTTTCGATGCGGTTCTCTGCGTTTGCACGACCTGTTTCGAATGCCGAACACTGTGCACAGACGGAAAATCGGTTCGTGGATGGGATCACAACTTTAGGGCAGTGATCAGTCCAGATCTTCAGAAAGTGTGAAATAGAAGGAACCTTAAACTCCGGAAACTCGGATCCACACTGGTCTACGAAAAAATCGTAAACATCATTCTGGCGGAGGGTGTCCAAGAGATGAAATTGATCGCTGTTCGGCATGCTTTCTGTGTTCAAGCGGAAATAGTTCTGCATCCATGCCAGTATTTTGCCCGAAGAGGCAGAAAGACCACAAGACCCTTTGTTTTTGTGCTCGTATGTGCGGATGTCATTTTTGAATGCATTCCGAACAGCAGTTGTGCGCCACGTGGAATATGCGTACAACATTCCCCATGCTCTAGTGCAAACCCTGATCTTGTTGAATGTGACTTTTAATTGAAGACGCTCGCCTTCGTCCGAGAAGTAAGAGGCTTTTCTCATCTGCTCCAGAAGGAAGTTCACCTGTTCTGGTTGCTTCATTAACCAAAACATTTGACGCGTCTCGAGTATTTCTTGGACAGAAAATCTTTTTACGCACTCACTGTTGCAACAATTTTGGTTCACTATGTCCTCGAGCTTATCCTTGCTCGTGTTGAAGTTCGCCTTCTTATTGTACACGCGACAATTCTTGTTTCTTTTGCCTAAGTTGTAAGGAGTTTTCTGCTCCTCTGTTGCTGCACTGAAAATACCTTTGCGTACTTCTTGACTTAAAGTCTCTTTGGCCTCTTAAGCTCCTCTGTGGACGACTTTCTGCCGAACATATTAGTTGTCTGCTCCGAACCCTGAACCGGTATCCCTTCTTAAGATAGCCTCCGATGTTGACACTTGACGGTGACAGTGGATGACACACGACGAATACCAAGAATGCTGCTTCTCTCATTCGGTCTCCGTCTCCTACATCTCTGAGCCGAAAGATCTGGTGGCAAATGCAGTTCAGGCTCAAAGATGTGTGGGAGAACAACGGGCGTCGTGTGATCCGGAAGATCTGGTGGCAAATGTAGTTCAGGCTTAAAGAAGTGTGGGAGGACAACGGGCATCGTGTGACAGCTGTCCTTGTCTACCTCTCTTGAACGACCTGGAGAGCTGTCGAAATTGACGTTCATCTTCGTTGCGGTGGCGTGTTGAGAAAGAGTAAGGGAAACGGTTTGTCGGCACGAAAGCAACTTGAACAGATGCGTTGTCTTGTCCTCAACATACACGCAGTACTCTGGTCATGTTCCAACTACAACTCTACAGACGTTACGTAGGTTGCGCCGCACGAAGAAAACTTGAACAAACGTGTTGTCTTGTTCTCAAGAGACGAGAAGTTATCTTGTCAAGTTCCATTATATCTCCAAGGAAGTACTCAGGATGGTTAGCATGATGACGACTTGAAGAGACGGGTTGTCTTGTTCTCGAGAGACATGCAGTAGTCTTCTCGTGTTTTAACTACAACTCTATGGACGTCACACAGGTTGCGCAGCACGAAGACAACTTGAAGAGACGTGTTGTCTTGAGACGAGCAGTTGTCTTGTCAAGTTTTATTATATCTCTGGTGAAATGCGTAGGATGTGCAACACGAAGACAACTGGAACAGACGTGTTGGCTTGTTCTCAAGAGACGAGCAGTAGTCTTGTCGTGTTCCGCTACAACTCCGTCAAAGTTTTGCGGTACACACCTGCAAAAGCTGCAAAAGAATGGCATCACGCGGAGAGAAACACCTTCAAGCCTCAAAACACGCTACTCGGGAGTCGCAAGTGCAGCAAAGTCGTAATGACCTAAGTGATAGAACGTTGAAGAGACACGGAACACACTACATTTCGGGCGGGAAACCCGGAACAGCGACAAATTTTGTCACCCCGCCCTATTTTCCGCCGAGAGCTCTGCTTTGCAGTCTGGCCGCTCTCTTTCACGCCAAGAAGTGCCGTTTTCAGCGGCCAATTAGTCCTACCGTGAAATTTTGAGTCTGGCTGACGAAATATTAACAAAACTTTGACACTTTTTCCGCCAAAACTGCAGGCAGGAACTGGTCTCTTGAACGCAGAATGTGCCGAAAAGTATTCCGACGCTCTTATAGGACCATAAACAGCCTCGGCGTATTTTGATTCTAGACAGCCCGACAGAACGACGCTTCCCGTACAGGTGTCCCTTGTTGTACCACGGAAAGTCGGTTGAAGCCCTTCGAAATTACTTTTGTTTTGTGGCGGGAAGATCAAAATAATTTCAAATTTAGTCGTCGTGCCCTAATTTTCCCCCAAGAGGTCCGTCTTCCCGCTCTCCCGCACAGTTACTCCAGAAGAACATTCTCTAGCGGGAAAACAGGACAGAAACAATTTTTGTCGTCAACTCCTAATTTCCGCCGACGACTCTTTTTTTCAGTCCTCCCGCTTCATTTCGCGCCAAGAAGTGGAAGTGCGCTTTCTTGCGGTCACTTCATCTTTCTGTGGAACTTTGAGCCCTTCTTTTGTAGCGGAAAGACGAAAACTTTTGCAGATTTCGTTTCCGTGCCCTATTTTCACCAAGAGCTACGCTTTCCCGCTGTTTTGCGAGATTACGCCTGGAGTAGATTTTCAGGCTGTGGAATTGTTCGTCCGGGGTGGATTTTCGAAAATGGGTCAAATTGCTTCCGCAATTTTTTTCGCGGTTAAAATGATTTTTTAATTTTTAAAAATATTTTCTTTTTAAAGATCGCGACCACATGTACGAACCCTCGAATTTTCAGAGTTGTTTCGAGGTGCCAAAAATGCCCTGGCGGTTAGGACCCACCGCTAGAGGGGTTCAAAAATTATAAAGGGTGTCCGATTTTCACTTAAGAGGGGTCAAATAAAATTTGGGGTGCCAAGACACCCAGCCGGTTAGGACCCACCGCTAAAGGGACCCAAAAATTATAAAGGGGGTCAGATTCTCACTTGAGAGGGGTCTAATTAATTTCGGGGTGCGAAGAATGACGGTGGGGTTGAGACCCACCACTACAAGGGTCCAAAAATTATTAAGGGGGTCGGATTCTCACTTATGGGGCGTCTAATTAAGTTCGGGGTGCGAAGAATGCCCTGGGGGTTAGGACCCACCGCTGGAGGGGTCCAAAATTAGAAAAGGGGTCGGGGTCAAATTAATTTCGGGTTGCGAAGAATGCCTTGGCGGTTAGGACCCATCGCCAAAGGGATCCAAAAATTAAAAAGGGGGTCGGACTCTTACTTAATGGGGGTCAAACTAATTTCGAGGTGCCAAGAATGCCCTGGCGGTAAGGACCCACCCGCTGAAGAGGTCAAAAAATTATATTTGGGGGTCGGATTCTAAGTTAAGGGGGGTCAAAAATGACGGTGGGGTTAAGACCCACCGTTATAGGGGTGCAAAATTAAAAAGGGCATCGAATTCTAACTTTGGGGGTGTTAAATTAATTTCAGGGTGTGAAGAATTACCAGGGGGTTAAAACCCTTGGTTAGAGGGGTCCAAAATTATAAAAGGGGTCGGATTCTCATTTTGGGGGGGTTCAATTAATTTTGAGGTGCCAAAAATGCCCTGGCGGTTAGGACCCACCGCTAGAGGGGTTCAAAAATTATAAAGGGGGTCCGTTTCGGGGTGCGAAGAATGCCCTGGCGGTTAGGACCCACTTCTATAGGGGTTCAAAAAATTTTAAAGGGGGTCCGATTCTCAATTAAGAGGGGTCAAATTAAATTCGGGGTGCAAAGAATGCCCTCGCGGTTAGGACCCACCGCTAAAGTGGTCCAAAAAATATCAAGGGCGTCGGATTCTCACTTAAGAGGCGTCTAATTAATTTTGCGGTGCGAAGAATGACGGTGGGGTTGAGACCCACCGCTACAGGGGTCCAAAAATTATATTTGGGGGTCGGATTCTCAGTTAAGGGGGTTCAAATTAATTTGGGGTGCGAAGAATGATAGTGTGGTTAAGACCCACCGTTATAGGGGTCCGAAATTGTAAAGGGGGTCGAATGCTCACTTTTGCGGGGTTAAATTAATTTCGGGGTGCCAAGAATGCCCTTGCGGTTAGGACCGGCCGCTAGAGGGGTCCAAAGATTATAAAGGGGATCAGATTCTCACTTAATGGGGGTCAAACTAATTTCTGGGTCCAAAGAATGCCCTGGCGGTTAGGACCCACCGCTGTAAGTGTCCAAAAATTATATTTGGGGGTCGGATTCTCAGTTAAGGGAGTTCAAATTAATTTGGGGTGCGAAGAATGACGGTGGGGTTAAGACTCACCGTTATAGGGGTCCAAAATTGTAAAGGGGGTCGAATTCTCACTTTTGGGGGATTAAATTAATTTCGGGGTGCCAAGAATTACCTGGGGGTTAGGACCCACGGTTAGAGGGGTCCAAAATTATAAAGGGGGTCGGATTCTCATTTTCGGGGGGTTAACTTTATTTCCGGGTGCCAAGAATGCCCTGGCGGTTAGGACCCACTGCTATAGGGGTTCAAAAATTATAAATGGGGTCGGATTCTCATTTTGGGGGGTTCAAATTAATTTCAGGTGCGAAAAATGACGGTGGGGTTAAGACCCACCGTTATAGGGGTCCAAAATTATAAAGGGGGTTGAATTCTAACTTTGGGGGGGTAAATTAATTTCGGATGTTGAAGAATTACCTGCGGGTTAGGACCCATCGTTAGAGGGGTCCAAAATTATCAAGGGGGTCGGATTCTGATTTTGGGGAGGTTCATTTAATTTCGGGGTGCCAACAATGCCCTGGCGGTTAGGACCCACCGCTATAGGGGTTCAAAAATTATAAAAGGGGTCGGGTTCTCATTTCGGGGGGTTCAAATTAATTTCGGGTGCGATGCGAAGAATGACCGTGGGGTTAAGACCCACCGTTATAGGGGTTCAAAATTGTAAAGGGGTCGAATTCTTAATTTGGGGGGGTTAAATCAATTTCGGGGTGCCAAGAATTACCTCGGGGTTAGGACCCACGGTTAGAGGGGTCCAAAATTATAAAGGGGGTAGGATTCTCATTTTCGGGGGGTTAACTTTATTTCCGGGTGCCAAGAATGCCCTAGCGGTTACGACCCACCGCTATAGGGGTTCAAAAATTATAAAAGGCGTCGGATTCTCATTTTGGGGAGTTCAAATTAATTTCGGGTGCAAAGAATGACAGTGGGGTCAAGACCCACCGTTATAGGGGTCCAAAATTATAAAGGGGGTCGAATTCTAACTTTGGGTGGGGTAAATTAATTTCGGGGGTTAAAGAATTACCTGCGGGTTAGGACCCACCGTTAGAGGGGTCCAAAATTATAAAGGGGGTCGGATTCTCATTTTGGGGAGGTTCAATTAATTTCGGGGTGCCAAGAATTACCTTGGGGTTAGGACCCACTGTTAGAGGGGTCCAAAATTATAAAGGGGGTCGGATTCTCATTTTCGGGGTGTTAACTTTATTTCGGGGTGCCATGAATGCCCTGGCGGTTAGGACCCACCGCTATAGGGGTTCAAGAATTATAAAAAGGGTCGGATTCTCATTTCGGGGGGTTCAAATTAATTTCGGGTGCGAAGAATGACGGTGGGGTTAAGACCCACCGTTATAGGGGTCCAAATTATAAAGGCGGTCGAATTCTAACTTTGGCAGGGGTAAATTAATTTCCGGTGTTGAAGAATTACCTACGGGTTAGGACGCACCGTTAGAGGGGTCCAAAATTATACAGGGGGTCGGATTCTCATTTTGGGGAGGTTCAATTAATTTCGGGGTGCCAAGAATGCCCTGACGGTTAGGACTCACCGCTATAGGGTCTTAAAAATTTTAAAGGGGGTCCGATTCTCACTTAAGAGGGGTCAAATTAAATTCAGAGTGCGAAGAATGCCTTGGCGGTTAGGACCCACCGCTAAAGGGGTCCAAAAAATATCAAGGTCGTCGGATTTTCACTTAAGAGGGGTCTAATTAATTTCCCGGTGCGAAGAATAACGGTGGGGTTGAGACCCACCGCTACAGGGGTCAAAAAATTATATTTGGGGATCGGATTCTCAGTTAAGGTTGTTCAAATTAATTTGGGGTACGAAGAATGACGGTGGGGTTAAGACCCACCGTTATAGGGATCCAAAATTGTAAAGGGGGTCGAATTCTCACTTTGGGGGGGTTAAATTAATTTCGGGGTGCCAAGAATGACCCCTGGCAATTAGGACCCACCGCTAGAGGGGTACAAAAATTATAAAGGGGGTCCGATTCTCACTTAAGAGGGATCAAATTAAATTCGGGGTGCGAAGAACGCCCTGGCGGTTAGGACCCACTGCTATAGGGGTTCAAAAATTTTAAAGGGGGTCCGATTCTCATTTAAGAGGGGTCAAATTAAATTCGGGGTGCGAAGAATGCCCTGGCGGTTAGGACCCACCGCTAAAGGGGTCCAAAAAATATCAAGGGCGTCGGATTCTCACTTAAGAGGGGTCTAATTAATTTCACGGTGCGAAGAATGACGGTGGGGTTGAGACCCACCGCTATAGGGGTCCAAAAATTATATTTGGGGGTCGGATTCCCAGTTAAAGGGGTTCAAATTAATTTGGGGTACGAAGAATGACGGTGGGGTTAAGACCCACTGTTATAGGGATCCAAAATTGTAAAGGGGGTCGAATTCTCACTTTGGGGGGGTTAAATTAATTTCGGGGTGCCAAGAATTACCTGGGGGTTAGGACCCACGGTTAGAGGGGTCCAAAATTCTAAAGGGGGTCGGATTCTCATTTTGGGGAGGTTCAATTAATTTCGGGGTGCCAAGAATGCCCTGGGAGTTAGGAGCCACCGCTAGAGGGGCTCAAAAATTATAAAGGGGGTCCGATTCTTACTTAAGAGGGGTCAAATTAAATTCGGGGTATGAAGAATGCCATGGCCGTTAGGACCCACTTCTATAGGGGTTCAAAAATTTTAAAGGGGGTCCGATTCTCACTTAAGAGGGGTCAAATTAAATTCGGGGTGCAAAGAATGCCTTGGCGGTTAGGGCCCACCTCTAAAGGGGTCCAAAAAATATCGAGAAAGTCGGATTCTCACTTAAGAGGGGTCTAATTAATTTCACGGTGCGAAGAATGACGATTAGGTTGAGACCCACCGCTACAGGGATCCAAAAATTATATTTGGGGGTCGGATTCTCAGTTAAGGGGATTCAAATTAATTTGGGATACGAAGAATGACGGTGGGGTTAAGACCCATCGTTATAAGGGTCCAAAATTGTAAAGGGGGTCGAATTCTCACTTTTGGGGGGTTAAATTAATTTCGGGGTGCCAAGAATTACCTGGGGTTAGGACCCACGGTTAGAGGGGTCCAAAATTATAAAGGGGGTCGGATTCTCATTTTGGGGAGGTTCAATTAATTTTGGGGTGCCAAGAAGGCCCTGGCGGTTAGGACCCACCGCTAGAGGGGTTCAAAAATTCTACAGGGGGTCCGATTCTCACTTAAGAGGGGTCAAATTAAATTCGTGGTGCAAAGAATGCCCAGGCCGTTAGGACCCACCGCTATAGGGGTTCAAAAATTTTAAACGGGGTCCGATTCTCACTTAAGAGGGGTCAAATTAAATTCGGGGTGCGAAGAATGCCCTGGCGGTTAGGACCCACCGCTAAAGGGGTCCAAAAAATATCAAGGGCGTCGGATTCTCACTTAAGAGGGGTCTAATTAATTTTACGGTGCGAAGAATGACGGTGGGGTTGAGACCCACCGCTACAGGGTTCCAAACATTATATTTGGGGGTCGGATTCTCAGTTAAGGGGGTTCAAATTAATTTGGGGTATGAAGACTGACGGTGGGGTTAAGGCCCACCGTTATACGGGTCCAAAATTGTAAAGGGGGTCGAATTCTCACTTTGGGGGGGTTACATTAATTTCGGGGTGCTAAGAATTACCTGGGGGTTAGGACCCACGGTTAGAGGGGTCCAAAATTACAAAGGGGGTCGGATTCTTATTTTGGGGAGGTTCAATTAATTTTGGGGTGCCAAGAATGCCTTGGCGGTTAGGACCCACCACTGGAGGGGTTTAAAAATTATAAAGGGGGTCCGATTCTCACTTAAGAGGGGTCAAATTAAATTCGCGGTGCGAAGAATGCCCTGGCGGTTAGGACCCACTGCTAAAGGGCTCCAAAAAATATCAAGGGCGTCGGATTCTCACTTAAGACGGGTCTAAATAATTTTACGGTGCGAAGAATGACGGTGGGGTTGAGACCCACCGCTATAGGGGTCATAAAATTATATTTGGGGGTCGGATTCTCAGCTAAGGGGGTTCAAATTAATTTGGGGTACGAAGAATGACGGTGGGGTTAATACCCACCGT